CCGTCGTGCTGTCGGCGGCGTCGGCGCTGCTCGCGGGCTCCCGCACGGCGGGCTCGTGCCGTGTCGACTGGCGGCGACCCCGCCAGCGGCTTTCAACGTTCAACGCCGCGGGCTCCTCCTCCCTCTCCTCCTCCTCCTCCTCCTCCTCCTCCTCCTCCTCCTCCTCCTCCCCTCCTCCCTCCTCCTCCTCCTCCCTCCTCCTCCTCCTCCTCCTCCCCCTCCCCCTCCTCCTCCTCCTCCTCCTCCTCCTTTTTCCTCCCTCCTCCTCCCCTCCTCCTCCCCCTCCTCCTCCTCCTCCTCCTCCTCCTCCTCCTCCTCCTCCTCCTCCTCCTCCTCCTCCCTCTCCTACCCATGGTAGTGGTGGTGGAACGCTGGCCCATCACTGCCCGCGTGGCTGACCAGAGCCGGCACGCGGCTCGCCGTGCCTCGGAACCTGCGCGCGCTTGCCCTGCAGGGCCGGCACGGTCGGCGTGCGCCGATCGCTTGGCGACCCATCCCAGCAGCGGTTTTCCGTGGCTCGACGAGCGGTTTTTCGTGTACCTGCTCGCAGATGGCCTGGATCCGCCGCGGGGGATCTGCGATAGATGCCAGCAGAGCAGGCGGGCGTTTGTCGAGCGCTTGCGAGTAGGCACCCTGCGAGTAGCGGAGCGCGCTCGGCGAGTGGCCGGGAGCCTGGCCGGGAGAGCCTATCAGCAGGCGGCCCTCCGTAGGGGGTCGCTTCGGGCACGCGCTGGCCCAAGGGCCGACGCACGGATCGGGAGGCGGCGCCGGATTCGGGGTGTCTGCTAGGTACCGAGGCTCGAGGGTCTCTGCATCACATGTGCTCTGAGCGCCCAGCCCACGAAGCCTGGCGTCGTGGCAGCATCTCGCCAGAACTCGAGAGCTCAGCCGTTGTCGTGGGACAGGCTCCGAGCGTCTGAGGCGAGAGGTTCGCGCGAGGGCTTTTCCCTGATCCAGGCATGTGCTTGTTTCGGCCTTTCTTCGACCAGCAGTGGGCGCTGCGGGGTACTGGGATCGAGCTGCCTTTCCTCCTGGAAGGCGGGTTTGCGTTCACTAACGGGGTTGGGGTTGAATGGTTTGTTCCCGACGCTGCGCGCCACGGGTTGGGCTTGTGTGTTTTTCTCGGCAGACGCTGCGTTCTTGGGTGCGATCTAAGGGGTCGTCCCTCCTGAGTTTTCGGTTTCTTCCTCCGTAAGCGACGGGGAAGATCATGCCATGCTAATGCTGTTGCTCCACGCCTTTGGATCCTTCAGTTTTTTTTTCATATTGCAGGGCCACTCTGTCCTGCTTCGCCTGCCAGCAGAAGGCAACGTCCGAGGCCAACCCGAGGCCCCTCATGTGGCGCGGGGTACACTCCGGAGAGGACATTTCTCGGCGGAGCTTTTTTTCGCATGCAAAAAGCCACTGCGGCACGAGGCATGTCCGCGACGGGGTTTTGTTTACGTTCGAGCTTGAAGACAATCAGGAGGCGGACCGTTTTGCCAAGCTGGGTGCCAGCTACGGAGCGGCAGCCGAGTTGGATGTGCTGTTCGTTGAAGGCTGTTTGGGAATTGCCCGACAGGCGGGAAGGTTCGGAGCCAGGGCCGCCACCAGGATGGTCGCCCTGACTTTCAGGATCACTCGGGTCTCGACGCGATTCGGTTGATCGACCTGGGGACCACCATTGCTGACACCGTCACGGCGGATGTTTTTAATTTATATATCTTATATATATATATACACACCACCCCCGTTTTCCTTGCTCCCCCCTTGGAAAGTTAGCCTCTTCCTCCTCCCTCCTCCTCCTCCCTCCTCCTCCTCCTCCTCCTCCTACTCCTACTCCTCCTCCTCCTCCTCCCTACTCCCGCTTCTTTCCTCACTTTCCTTGCAGCACGTCTTCTCGCGCCGCTGGTCTGCGTCTTCGGTGGGCGCTAGTGCTGGTCCTCCTCCACTTGCCCGGTTTGCCATGGCGATGAAGAGAGGCTGTGGTGGAGTTCAAGAAATTCGAGCCTGTTTCCTCACGCTCCCCACCTCACAAGGCTTGGACGGCGCACCGTATGTCCTTCGAGATGACGCACTGACGCAGCAGCATGCAGGTGCGCCCTGCAAGGCGCGGGCGCCGCGATCAAGAAGACAAAGCGATGCACCAGCTGACCTGTCGTTGCTGTCGTGGTCTGCACGACTGCACATCAACCCACCTCCTCTGCTCTCTCGCCCTGCCCTCGGGGAACGAAGAATGACACATACCTAAAACCTCGGGGGGCCGCGCGGATTTCTCGGACCGGCACTGGACCCCCCTCCGTGGCTCGCGGAGCGCGCCAGGGGCGGCCCCGCCAGGGCGGTCCAACGCCGATCCGAGAAATCCGCGCGGACCCCCGGGTTTTTAGGTTTGTGTCACTCTTCGTTCCCTTACTCCCTTCCTCTTCATTCCTCGTGCTTGTGCTTCTGTTTCCGTTTGTGCTTGTGCCACTCTGCATGCCTCTGCTCCCTTACCCTTCCCCTCCCTGGTTCCTGAGGAGCTTCGTCCGCGACGTCTATTCGGACACGATCTGAGGCCACGGCCTCTTGCTCCTCCTCCACCTCCTCCTCCTCCCATTCCTCCTCCTCCGTAGCCATTTTGGCTCAAGATGATTGGTGCCCCAGGGGACCACACGGATACCGCTAGTCCGCGGCCAGACCACCGTTCGCCTACACTGTGGGAGTTGGGCACCCACTTTCAGCCTTGCTGCCCAGCCTGCGCTGCTTCGGCGGCTTGCTCTCGGTGCCTGCGAGGCCAGCCTGCTGGATGGCGCCACAGCACTACCGTTCGGAGCAGAGCAAGCGGCAATGGTACTGCAAGAGCTGCGTCGGGCCCAAGGGCCTTCCCTGGTTCAACTTCGCCGACGCCACATCCTGCGCCAAGTGCAAGTTGGGCAAGGGGCTTTGCTTCAAGGAGTATCGCGAGCCGCCGCTGCCGTCGCTTCGCAGGCCAGGGAGGTCCTTCTCTGCATGGGCGGACTCGGTGCAGGTCCAGAAGCTCAAGCAGGAGCTGGCGGCCGCCAGTGCGAAGCTCAAGCGTGCGGAGGCCCCGCCCGTGGAGGCCGAGGAGGAGCTCAGCGGATCCGACAAGGACAAGCAGAGGCTGCGGGAGTTGGGCGAGCTGCTCAAGACGGTCGAGGGCAGTGCCGATCCTCACCTCGCTCGTGCAAAGGAGGCGTTCGTCAAGGAGCAATCTGAGCTCAAGGCGAAGCTGGCGGCGGCGCGCCCCTTGGGCCAGAGGCTACGTGACCTCGGAGCCCAGATCAGCAGGCAGCAGAAGTTGCAGGAGGACCAGCAGCGGCGCCTCGTGGGGATCCGCGAGAAGCTGGCGTTGCTGCATGAGCAGGAGCAGGCGGCGCAGCAGCAGTTGGCGTCGCTCGACACCCAGATGCTGGAGTTGCAGGAGCAGCAGCGGCAGCTCCAGAGCCAGGCCCCGCTGCCCCCCCAGCCTGAGCACGGCAAAGGGCCGCTGGATGAGCCGATCGTCGGGCTCGGCCAAACGTTGGCGGGGCTCGACCAGGTGCTCAACTTCCTCGGCGCCGAGCATGGGTTGTCGGAGCGCCTCAAGGAGGACCTGGAGCGCCTCAAGATGCTCAGCGAGGAGGCCAAGGTCAAGCAGCAGCGGGAGAGGGCCGAAGCCGCTGCGGCTGCTGCCGCCGCTGCTGAGGACCAGCGGGCGCCTGGCGGCAGCCCGCCTTCGGAGTGTGACGCGATGGAGCAGGACGAGGCCGACAGCGCCGAGTTCGTCGATGAGATCGTCAGTGCAGGAGGCGACAAGCGCAGGATCGAGGAGATCATGGCTAAGCTCGGGCGCAAGCGGCACAAGGCGGTCGCTGCCTGCTGATGCCCTGGCGCCCTTTCGTTTTCTGCTGTGGCTGTGTCTCGTGCCCATCGCAATGGCTGAGTCTATCGGTGTCACCACTATCAATGTCTCGTCAGGCGGCCCCATGGTTGACTACCTGGCGAATTGTTCAAGCATGTGCGTCGCCGTGCAGGAGCATCATGCGCTGCCAGGGGCCCTGGCCAAGGCCCAGCGGGACGCGCTCGCCGAGGGCTACCACGGTGTCTGGGAGGCTGCGCTACCTGGACAGGGCACTGGCAGTCAGGGCGGCGTGGCGGTTTTGGTGCCCAAGCGTGTGCTCATCACAGGGCCCCCTGCGCTAGAAGGGCCAACGTTGGAGCCAGGGCGCATGGTGGCGGCGCACGTCAACTGCGGTGGCAAGCGAGGTTTCGTCATGATTTCTCTGTATATGCGGGTTGACGAGCAGCTGTCGCCAGAGAACCTGGCCATCCTGTTCAAGTTGTATCAGTATCTGAAGGTGCTCGACACTTTGCAGATGCCGTGGATCGTGGGAGGAGATTTCAATATGGAGCTCAAGCAGTTGGGCTCGCTGTCGTGGCTGCACTCGGTCAATGGCGTTGCGGTTGTGCCATCGGTGCCGACTTGCATGCAGGCCCTCCCTGGGCGCACGATCGACTTCTTCTTCGTGGCCTGCCAGGTCATGCCGAGGATAAGCCATGCAGCAGTCGGTGAGGCAGATACTTGGCCGCACCTGCCCGTAACGCTCAGGTTGGCAGCCCAGCCGCAGGTGATTTGGACTCGGCAGCTGGTGCAGGCCAAGGGTTTCACCAAGGCGTCGAAGGTCGGCTGCGCCAGGCCGCCGCCAGACTGGGACCCGCTGCTGAATCAGATCAGGCAGGTGACCTCCTCGGAGCAGATGGCCGACGTGTGGGGCCAGCTGCTGCTGGGCATCGAGTTCGAGCTGCAGGGCCGCTACGATGTCGTCGGACCGCAGGTGTCAAAGTTCACGTCCAAGCCTGCGCCACCTACGTTCGAGTGGGCCAGGTTCGACCCTGACGAGAGGCAGTCTTGGAAGAGAAAGGCGCCCGACGTGGCAGCTTGGCTTGCTGCAGCGCGTTGGGCGCGGCAGTTCCGACGTGTCCGCACTGCTCTCGCATCGTTCATCACGAAGCTGTCCGACCCGCCTGCTCTCTTGTTGCCAGGGCTGAACTGCTCAGGGACGGAGGCACCATCGCCATCGACTTCCTCGGCTACGGGTGCGTCGCCTGCGGCTGCGTCCTGTTGCGCGGTGGCGGCAGCGGCTGGAGCGCGCCCCCGTCCGAGGGTCTACTGCAGCAAGCTGTGCGACAACACCGCGAGGCACATTTTGGAGTTCCAGTATTTTTTGAAAAGGATTGCTGCTCGCTCCGATGTTTGGCCACATCTTGATAAGGCGGCTGTCGATCTTTTTGTGCTTGGGCTCCTGGCTTTCGTGCGGGAGGATTTCGACCAGCAAATCGAGCGCATCATTGTCAAGGCAGAGGGCAAGCAGCGGGCGCATGAGAGTAAGGTAGCCGCCAGTTGGCAGGCGTGGGCCGAGGCGTCGTTCGAAGGCGGCGCTAGTCGTACTCACAAGTTTTCCAAGCCACTGGCGCTCCAGGAGGTGATCGACTACGGCGCAGGTGTCCAGCACGCGTACCAGCTGGCCGATCGTAAGGTGCAGCACTGGAACCAGTACTGGCAGAGGCACGATGACGGGGTGATTGATTTGCCCAGCGACCGCCAGGTGTGGGGCCAGCTGCCACCTCTCAGCGGCAGGGGCGTACGCCGTGCGGTTCGCGCCTTCAGCTGGACAACGGGTACGGGGCAGGTCAGGATTGCCCCGCGGGCGTTGGACCACCTGTCCGACGCAGCCCTGGATGCGATGGCCGCCGTCTTCTGTCGTTGCGAGCAGCTGCTCATCTGGCCCAAGGCTCGGCTCATGACGAAGCTCGTTCGACTTCCCAAACCAGGAGGGGGGGAGCGCCTGATCGCTCTCCTCAACACGCTCGTTCGGGTGTGGGGGAGGGCCCGTCGGCCTGTCTCTGCCCAGTGGGAAGCGAACAACGCCAGCGAGGAGTTCTGGGGGCACACGGGAGGCAGATCCTCCTCCGACGCTGCCTTCGATCTGGCCCTCGAGAAGGAGACGGCCCACCTCACGGGCGACCACGCCCTGATCGTGCTGCTCGACATGCTCGAGTGCTACGAGTTGGTGCGTCACCAGGCGCTGCTGGACGAGTGCAGGGCCAATCTGTTTCCCATGAGGCTCGCGTGCATGCTCGTGCTGCTCTACCAGCAGGAGCGCACGATTTTTGCGTACAACTCCTTCTCGGAGGCGAAGCGTGCGTACCAGGGCATCCTGGCGGGGTGCACTCATGCCACTACGCTGCTGATGGTGCTACTGACGCGTACTTTACGCATGACTGCTCGAATCGTTCCTGAGGTTCGTCCACGTGACCTGGTGGACGACGTGGCTTTGTCGTGGACTGGTGCCGATGCCCGTGGTGCCCGCACGCTTGCGACTGCCACGAAAGTGTTCTGCGAGGCGGTCAGACCCCTCGGCCTGGTCCTGCAGTTGGACAAATCGGGGCACTTGGCCGTCACACAGCAGTCCAAGTATCACTTCAGGCAGTATGCCAAGTTGCTCAAGATTGGTGGCAAACGTCACATGCGCTACCTGGGCCACGACCTCGCGGCCTGCGCTGCTGTGCGCAGTGTCCAGAAGGATCGCCTCAAGAAGATGGATGCTCGTCGCCCTCGGCTGAAGGCGTTGCAGAAGGGGGCTGGACGCTGGCGCTCGGCGCGCCTCTGGACCACCGGCGTGCTGCCCTCGGTCGGCCACGGCGCGGCTGTCAGCGGCACCAACGACGGCGAGCTGAAGCAGATGCGCAGTTTGGCAGGCAGTTTTTGTGGCTTCAGTGGCAGCGGCTCCCTCGCACTGTACCTGGCAGTTCAGAAGCAGCGCAGTTTCGACCCGATCTACCACGCCACCTGCAGCCTGCTGCAGCAGTACACGGTGTGGGTGTGGGCCGCGCGCGGCTCTCCCGCCAAGCTGCAGAGGGCCTGGATGGCGCTGAGAGACCAGTTCGAGGATGCTCGCGGTGCTGTCACTTGGGCCAGCGCTAGGGGTCCCATCTCTGCGCTCTGGCTCACTCTGCGCAGAGTTGGGTGGGGCATGGCCAGTGCCACGGTCCTCGTGGACGACGCGGGTGTCGGCATCGACCTGCTGAGGGTCTGTCCCAGCGAGGTCCAGCACTACATGTACCTGAGCCTGGAGCGCTGGCAGAGCCATCGTATTTTGGACCATCTGCCTGGAGCCCCTGCTCGGCGGCCAGACGGAAGCCGAAGGCATATCTGGATGCGAGCCCTTCGTCAGGGTCACCTGCAGAGGCTGTCCAGCGGGCTGCGTGGTGCTATGGCGAAGCTTCAGTCTGACGGCATGTGGACGCCCGCCCGTCGGCGCGAGGCAGGTTACACGGACAATGCAGTTTGTGAGTTCTGTGGTCACGCGCCTGCCGACCTCGAGCACGAGATGTTCTACTGCACCGTGCACGAGGCGCAGGAGGGGGAGGGGCAGGGCCCGTGCCCCGAGGACGTGCAGCAGGTCAGGAAGGACATTTGGGAGCAGGGCCAGACGGGCGCTGGTGCGGAGTGGGACTTCACCGCTGTCGACCTGCTCTACG